GGTAATTATCCTTTTATTTTACCTGTGGTGTGGTGCAGTGACCGATGCTGACATGTGGTGACATGCAGTGCAGAAAAATACTGCATGTCTGCATTTTTTCCTACCACGACCCACCTGAAGGCAGCATTGTGGCGATAACAGGGCACAAAGAAAACACTTATTTTCTATGTGCCCTTGCAGTGATTGGCATTGATCAGGTGCTGAAAACCTCCAGTCACTGCACATGGTGTTAACGAGCACTCAATTGTTTAAGCCTACAATCTCATAGAGACTATAACATTAGATAACCCCAGAATCTAACAACCATTTTCTTTTTATTTCTGTACATTATAATTTCACCATTTATATACAGTTCTTACAGGCTCGTCACCTGCGTGACATCACTGTGTGGTGGCTGTAAAGTTGTCACCTTCTCTTAGAAAGAATACCAGCCCTATGGCCTCCTTACATGTCCCATTCTTACCAGCCAGGCCAGAAAAATACTGGCCAGGTGGCAATCCTAAGGGGCTGTCTGAGGCCAGGAGCTGTAAAGACCAATGCAATCAATCAAAGCTGCATTTTCTAGCTGCAGGACATTAACGGGACCAATAACACTAATAAAAAATAAAACTTTTAAAGGGGCCACACCAATATGCAACAGTTTACCATAATGCACATTTTGCTTGGCAACTCAACATACTACTACAGTAGTGGGCAATATACCCACACTGCAGCACACCACAACACGCATGCTGTGCATTGTGGTGTGCTGCAATAAAAGGAGAAAAAGGTCAGGTCATACTTTCCAGTTGGGGGGGGGGGGGGGGGGGCTACTAATGTATATTTTCACCTAAAATTCACACATCTTTTACTTACACACCTTTCTAATTGGTTTAATTTGGGAAGATGTGTGAATCTTGGATGGATATTATTTGAATCTTCTGTGAAAAAAAATTGTAGAACTAGACCCTATAGTTACATAGTTACATAGTATTTGAGGTTGAATAAAGACATTAGTCCATCAAGTCCAACCTATTAGGATCTCATTCTAGGAGTACCTGTACCCCTGTATATTACGGTCCCTTAAGAAATCGTCCAAAAGTTTCTTGAACAATTCCACATTCTTTGCTGAAATCACTGTCTGTGGCAGTGAGTTCCAGACCCTAACTGATCTTACTGTGAAGAACCCCCTTCGTATAAATTAACCCTCAGTGTTTATACAAGCCCATGACATCATTGGCAGGGTTATTCAGAAAAGGGTGAAGACTTTGGAGAAGTGAACAATCTAGGACAACATAGCTGAAATATTCTCTAAATCAGCTCTTTCCAGTTCAGCTGACTTGTCCTAGATTGTTCACTTCTCCTGCTCGTCACCCTTTTGTGAGTAACCCTGTAAAGAGCTACATAAGTGCTATGTACAGTGTAAGCAACGGAGGCCCTTTATATTCTTCTAATGAAGAAAATTTAGCACAGCTTGGAAAATGTTTGTTTGCTGGCTTTCGTTGTGGTTGTAGTGTGCTTGTTATATCACCGAGCTTGTCTTTTTTTCAATAGAGCATGCAAAAAAAAAAGCTTTATCATTTTTGATTAAAATTATAATATCCTAATTTGTTTTGAATAAACCAAAATAGAAACTATGTGTGCCACTACAGAATGAAATATAGAATGTATGTAAAGTGACACTAAACTGAGGAGCTAAAACATAAAAATACATTGAAGAACTTTAACTATTAAAAAAAAAATGTATCTCACTCGGCTGTAGATCCTCAAATCATCTCTGAATTGGTGCTGACACTGTCCTTCCTTCTGGAGGGTGGCTACTTCTGTTCTCCATGGTCCCTGTGTGTGTTGTAAAGTACCACCACTCCAAGATCACTCCTGTGATGGAATACAATCTCAATACAAATGATCTAATTAAACGTGAGATTGCAGTCCATCACGGGAGAGAGCTTGGACCGGTGGCTACTTTACAACACACACAGGGACCATGGGGAACAAACATCGCTACTCTCCAGAAGGAAGGACAGTGTCAGCATCAATTCAGAGATGATTTGAGGATCTACAGCTGAGTGATACACACATAATATACATTTGTGTTCATCGTTAAGGTACTTGAATGCATTTTTAGCATTTAACGCTGATCTATGTTTTGCCGGCATAAATGGTTTATTTAATAAAATAGTGAAAGACGCAAATGCTACATCCAGTACCTATAGCAACCAATCCATCTAATGTGCCCATATTAAACTGACCCTGTCAGTTCCATAACAAAAGGGAGTACCATGCAAAAGAGGACTTCCTAAACTGACCCTTTTGGTGGCCCATGTCTTCCACACTGCCTCCGTTGCCGCACTGCAGTCTCTTTAGCATTCTACACTTCAGAGAATGTTGGATGCCAGTGTCCTCTGCCCTATACTGTGGATCCTTCCTCCGATCTCTATACATCACAATAATAATATAGGGGTTGGAGAATGGAACCACAGTGTGCGGTGGAGGACACAAGCTCCCAGAAGTATAAAATGCTCTAGAGACTATCACTATTAGAGGCTGCAGAGATGGAACTGAGCTGGGGAGGGGATTAGGAGACATGGGCTGCTGGAGAGGCCAGCACAATACATCTTCTATTGCAGGAAACTCACTTTTGGAATTTGTTATGGAACTGACAAGGTTACTTTAAAATGAACTCTACATACCATTCTTTTCACTCAGAGCTTTGGTTCTTGCAGTGCTCATTAAATAAGCATATCTGTTTAAGCATACAAGGTCTGATAGCTTCATGCAGTGGGACAGGGCCATGTGGGGCTAACAAGGGGAGGGCTTCTGAGCATTCCAATAGTTCTTTACAATATGCTGGGAAAAAGTGAAAAGCACCATTTACTGACCATCATTCTTTAGTACATATGCACTCTTGCCAGGCTTGAAAAAATGCCTTCTCTTGATAACGGCTCTATGGCTGAGAGACTGGATTGCAAAAGAGCTAATGTGACCGATGCTCTTTGCACCCAATGTTTGGGTTAGAACTTTTGAATCTGCTAATGAACACGGCCAATGGTGTGGCTGGAGACAAAGGCACTCTCTGAAAAGCCACTACAGAAATCTAAGCTTCCTCTCTACAGTTCATTAAGTCATAAAACATGAAACTTACCAAAGTCAAACCGTACTTTTACTGCAAAGTACAAAATGGCTACCCATGCTGCATGTGGGTCATCTATTCTACCCAGTGACTGGATAGGGTACCATAGCTAGAAAGGTGCCTAAAGGGTATAACATGTCATTTAAACAATAACAGGTCACCTTCACAGAAGCAAATAAGGATAAGAGAATCAAAAGTGGAGAGGGTATAGTAGTGTGTAACTAAAGGTGCCCAAAGACATTAGGTTACACCGGTTTGGCCAAAATTGTCCAGAATGAGCAATAATGTGCATGGAGCAGCCTGAGACAGAAAAAATATGTATGATAACTTGCTAAAATTGATAAAAGGTATAGGTAACCCAATCGTTAAAGTCTAATAATCTTCAACATTTGTGAATTTGCAGCTTATAGTGAAATGAATACTTAGTAGTCCTGCAATGAAATTCTTTGTTCAGGCACATTCTGTTATAGGATGACAACACTCGGTCCCTGTCCCCTAACTGCTCTCTTTTGTTGTCACCCTGTCGCATGAGTTTCCAAAGAAGACTAAAAGGGACTGCACTGACACTTGTCATGCAGGCATGATCCACCTTTGTCACGATCAAGAAGCCTGTCTGGGCAAAGACATGCAGCTGGAGCACATACATGTAGAAGGGGCTGAAAAAGGTTGGAGGGGGTTAGCAGCACTGAGAAGCAAAAAATAAAATGTGAATTTTTTTTACGTGTATACACGCCCAGTTACATCCAAGAAGCTCCCGGCAGGCCATGCATACACAGCGGCTGGCCGGGAGGTAGTTAAAGAAAAAAAATGGCAGCAATTACACAGCGCCTTATCAAACTTAATGTCATCCAGTTAGGGTTTACATCTGCTTTAAAACAGACCTGTGGTTAAATCAAAAGTAAAAACTAAAAATCAGCAGAAGGTGAATGATGGTAAAAGCTATCAACATAAACCTCTTTCTTTAAAATGAGTGGATACCAGCCCTGCCCTCGGCCCCTGCTGCTTTTACCAATTCCTGGTAGTGAGATCAACCACACTCCCTGCCCTGTCCCACAGTGTAATGCAGTATATGCTAATCACATACCCTAGTACTGTCATGGGGGGGTCTGCCTATACCTACTGGCTGTATCTGGCATCATGCAAGCACACCTGAATGACACCTCTTTGTACAAGCTCCTCCCCATGAATCAAGCAATTTTCTGAATTCCAATTTCAGACCCCATGCTCTGCTCCTTATGGCCTCCCACTGACAGTAATTTTATGCTTTTTGTATTTTAAAACTTACCTTATCCAAGATCTTCGGGTTGGTCACGTGACACTCTTCTTCTCTGGGCTTGGTGTCCCTCATTGATGCAGAGGAGCGGTTGACATCAGCACCACTCTTTGCATCAACATACTAGGAATAAAGGGCATTGTGGTGAGACCACCTCAGTGGGCTCGGCCATGACATGCTGCACTCAAAAAATGATGTTCTTAATCTTCTGAGCTGATGCGTCTTCTGGGTGGACATCATTCAACTCAGTGGATACGAAGTGGGCGAAGAACAATTACTACAGTGACAACTCAAGATGGAAGGTAAGTAATTAGCCTATTAAGTATTGAGTATTTTTTTGCCTTTTTTTCTTAACAAACAAAAATTTAGCCCAGAGTTGGGCTTTCATTTAAAAAAAAAAAAAAAAAAAAAAAAAA